TTATTACTGTCTAGTAATCATAATTTTCCTTTTTATGTTTTGCAAATCAGGAAACAAGACAGATTAGCATGAATATCTTTACATTTATATATATATAATGCAATGATATTTTCTATCGCTAATACTGGTCACTAAAATAGTTAATTCTTTGGAAATTAAACTTTACATATATAAAGCAACAATTTAGTAAGATGAACTCAAAATTTCATGCGATGATATACTTTTCAGAAGAAAGGAAGTTGCTCATTGATTCTTCTTTCGCAAGATGAACTCAAAATTTCATTTTCAAAACCTCTCTCTCACAATCTTAAATTCTCGAATTGTTTCTTTTGTTTGTTTCTGCAGACCCCAATGAACCTTTCAGTTGATGAGAGATGCAGGATAAATCATTTAGCCTCCAGCATGATGGCATTATCCCAGGTTTGTACATAAACGGAATATGGATCATAGAACTTATAAATTTTCTGTAGTTCATAGTACTTTAATAGTGTAGGAATTGGTGAAGAGTGATCAGTTTCCCCAGAAATAAGTTGCTAAATTTAAGTAAAATGAGTAATATGGCAAGACCGATCTAGTAGCTCAGTAAGCTCAATCTTGAACTTGTCTCATGTATGAACTTACTAAATGATCAGGTTGTCTAATCTTAGTTTCATTTGTTTTCTTAGCATAATTAATAAATTCAGCACTTGGACTCTTTTGCTAGGATGTTTACAAGTAATCTGCATTGTGATAATCCAACTGACAAATGACACCATGATTTCACGTGATTTTGTATTTTTCTGCTTTTGTCATCTTCTTTCTTCTGACCAAGTAATTTTTCCCATATGGTAAAGAATATAGTAGTGTCTATTTTAAAGAAAAAGTATTCTGTACTTTCATACATGTTCTATAACTTGAACTTTTGGAGTAGAGTCCTCAATTTTTTCAGCTTGTCCTTTCAGGGAATACCCTTTTTCCATGCTGGTGACGAGATACTAAGATCTAAGTCCATTGATCGAGATTCATATAACTCTGGTGATTGGTTTAACAAGTAATAAGCTTCCCTTTCTACCTTACTGAAAACAGCAGTTCTTCCCATGAACTAAAATGATTGATTTTTTATAGAGAGAAAACTAATTAAAATGTTCTTGAAAATAATAATTCTTGCCGCCTTCTTTACCATATATGAAGTAGAGGACAATAGTAGTTCTGTAGAATCTTTAACTGCACGGTAATGTTCTGTTTTCTTTTTGCTAAGGCTTGATTTTACCTATGAAACAAACAATTGGGGTGTTGGGCTTCCTCCAAGTGAAAAGAACGAAGATAATTGGCCCCTGTAAGTTTTTGAACTTTTACATCTTTTATTACCATCACGGTTTTATTATGTATTTGGCCATGTCCTTTTGATAAAGTGAAGAACTTAAATGAGCATTTCCTTTCAAGTTCTAAACATGCATTTGATAGTTCAAAATTTCAAATGGAAACTATTTTGCAGGATGAAACCAAGATTGGAAAATCCATCTTTCAAACCTGCAAAAGGACACATTCTTGCTGCCCTAGACAGTTTTGTTGACATCTTGAAGATCAGATACTCATCTCCGCTTTTTCGTCTTAGTACAGCAAGTGACATTAAGGTACATGTATTCTTCATTTCTTTGCCAGCAAATTAGTTTGAACTTCCTTTCAGACCGCTGAAGTGCTACTGTAGACAAAGCTTCTTTTTTCCTTTTATTGATCTCATGGTGAATTATATGACATGAATGTACTTTACTGTGGGAGCTATATAACTGAGAGTGTGAAACAAATGTATGTTTACATTGATCCCGCAGTTGAAAATGAATGATCACCTGGAAACTAGAGACAAAGATAATCCTGCTAGAACATGTGGACACAGCTCCACCCTGTACTACACCAAATGATCTAGTAGCTGCAAGCAACTCGTGCAAGAAAGCTATGACTTTTTATTCAGTATTACCTCAGTTTCACAATATCTATCGTGCACCCACACATTGGGGGAGGGGTGAAAATGCTCACATAGTAAATTTGTGGAAGAGGAGCGAGTAATATCTATCGAATTGATCTGTTGCGTAGATCTGACTGTATTCCTGTCGTATTTCAGCAAAGGGTTCACTTTCACAACACAGGGCCCTCCTCAGTCCCAGGTGTTATTGTCATGGGCATTGAAGATGCACGAGATGAGAAGCCCGAGATGGCTCAGTTAGATGCGAAGTAAGTCACACTTGATGTAATTATGATTTGCAAAGATATGTTTTGCAAGATGAACATAGAGTGCAGTCTTGAGAAACATGCCACTCTGTATTATTACTCGGTAAAAGAGCAGTAGTGTCCGTCCGCAGCTCAGTGTGTGGCAAGAGAGGCCCTCGATGTTATGTGCTGTAGCTAACTAACTAACTGCCACTCTTTGCAGCTTCTCTTATGTTGTAACGGTCTTCAATGTGTGTCCGCACGAAGTATCCATGGATATTCCAGCCCTTGCTTCAATGCGGCTTGAATTGCATCCTGTGCAGGTAACTGTTCTGAGCTGTTTTTGACTTTAGGTTTTGTTTGTTCTGTACCCTGACATCATTGCTAGACCTTTCACATTTTTCTCTTTTTGCAAGTGTTGAACTTTAACATTGGGGAAACTAACAACTGAAAAACTTTTTAGAACAAATTGACACATTTTCCTTGTTGTGGTTTTGCTTCCTAGCGTTTCATGCTTAGAATGAAACATTGCACACCCTATAACAACTGACCAGTGTCCGAGCCGGCCTGATAGTCCAGAGTTTCAGTATCCTAAAACCCAATAAATCATCAACCCAAAAGGTTGTGGAACTGGGAGAGCAATTTTCTGAATATGCAACGACTATTCTGGACTGTTTCAGGTGAATTCATCAGATGCTTTGGTGGGGAAATCTGTGTACGAGGCCGCGACGGGCAGGTTCACCGTTCCCAGAAGAACCGTGTCAGTCTTTGTCGAACCTCGGTGTTGATGCCTCCTTGGTTTCAACGCAAGGATCTGTTCTACAAGTTGTCGAAGCGACCGAAGATCTTTCTGTTTTCGTGTTGAAGTAAATAATAACTGAAGAATAAGAGAGGAGAGGCGCTGCTGCCTGCGGATTACACTGCTGAAGGAACAAACCCAGGAATAAGAAGCCTGGCTTATGTATATGTATGTATAGTGCCCAAGCTGCCAAGTCATGGCTTTGTTTTCTGATCCATTTTGATTTTATATATCAAAAGGAAAACATGTATATCGTGTTATAACTTATAAGTTTTGTATAACATGCATCTATTATATAAGGAAGCATAATGATTTGTACTGTACTGCCTTTTTACTTTGTATATTGTTATTATTTATCAAAGAAATAAAGCGCACTTTCTCTAATACTAGCATAGTACCCGTGCGTTGCTACGTAGCTATAACAGAAAATAAGAGAAAAAATGAGGATAAGGATTTGTCAAATGAGGACACTGATTAACTTTGGCTCGATGACCAGTTAGAGTAAACATGATAGTTCAATGCATGAATTTAGAGATGGAATGGCCAAATGAGTACTAAGTGTAAAGTAGGGGAAGTGAACTCACCACCAACTCGAAATTTTATAAGTAGGAAAGATGTATATATTTTTTTATTAAACTTTAAAAAAATTGACCATATATTTTTCAAGTTCAAATATTTCGAAACGGAGGGAGTAATATTTAGTGATAAGATCTCTTTGAGGCCTCGAGGGTCTCTAACAAAAAAGAAAACTCTCTGATCGAATCGGTGACTCCACGACGCCCCGCTCGGCGCTCGCTGCTCTCTCTCCCTCTCTGTCTCGGCGCCGCCGCGGCCATCGATCGACCTCGAAGGAGGCGCGGCCTGCAGCCTCCACCTTCGCTCAGCCAAGGTGAGCTCCCTCCAGCGATTCCCCACCCTCCTTCTCTCTGCTCATTAGCCCGAGACGTACACCTCTGCCGCCGACCGCTAGCTAGGGTTTCCTAGGCCGGGGGAAGGGGGTAGAGAGCTACAGCAGCAGGTGGGGAAAAGAGGGGGAAGAGCCGTATACAGATCGCCTTTGCTTGCCTGCAGCGCCGGCAGCCACAACGGCGGCGCCGCCGCCGGGCCCCTGGTCTAGGCGCCGGGTTGGAGGAGGTCACTGCAGATGTGGGATTCAGAGAATGTATAGTTCAGTTAGAATGTTGTGTTTCATGAAAATGGAATTGGGGGCCTGCGCTCCTTTTCTCGAAAAATGAAATACTTCAGTTAGAATTGTTGAGATCCATTTAATTTTTTCCCTATGGAAGTTTTAGGAGCCCGGAGCCAGTGCACTGCCACCTCTAACCCGGAGTCCGAACTGAAGAAACGTTTCTGTTCCTTCAGACTAAGTAAGTTAATTGTTACAAGACTTTGTTTCGAGCGATGGTGATAAGCTTTCATGTTTCACGTTGCTGTCAATGCCATCTTGTAGTTCGTCAGAGGGTTCGATCTCCGTTAATTATTCATCTATGCTATCTGGGGTCTTGGTATATGGCGATGAAGCTGCCAATCTAGCATCCTGCTTGCTAATACTTGTTACTGGCCTTCTGCCGATCTGTTATTAGTTACTGCTGTTATGGTACTGATTTTTATGGTCATAAGATAACTTTTTCAACTAGTTTGTTTACTCTATTTTTGGGGCGAAGGCAGACTGGCGCTCTACTGATTTCATTAAGAGAACGAGTAGCAGGTCCATTATTTATCCAAAATTCTTTCTCTTGTAACTTTCTGGGGTTCAGACTCATATCAGCAGGATTCAGTTTAAGTTTAATTCGAGGCGTACAAGTGCAATTTAAAATCAGCTTTTGCTTATTATCATTTACTTAATGGAAAAGGGGGAAACCTATGAGATGCTTGTTGCTAGTTAGGAGTACCTTCTGATGGCCTAATGTGCCAATGCTTTGCTATATCACGTTCAAAGGAAAACAGAGGTTTTGTGGCACGACCTTACCTGAATTAATTCTTCTTCCTTTATCTTGACAGTTTCTAAAACAATCACATGTCCAAGGCACGCAACGCCTTAGTTGTCACTGGCTTGGTGATCTTTGCTGGTACCGGCCTAGCATTTCCCTTCTACTTTGTGTAAGTGAGTTTGTTTTCTCATCTTTCTAGCACTGGTTGTGTGCATTGGCTGGCGTCTCTTTGCGTAACCTTTATCCATTTCTTACCCCCAGGAAATCAAAGAACAGGCCTATTATCGATTCAACGAAGCCTCTGCCACCACAGGCTACTTTCCGAGGACCGTATGTGAACACTGGATCGCGCGACATAGGGCCTGATCACACCGAGTACCCCAAGAAGTGATATGTATTTCCATCTTGTTTTCTCTTTGTTTTTCAACGGGCATGCAGAAAACCAGTGAGTTCTGAGTGGAACCCTGTAATGTTGATAACCGGCTCGTGATGTTGGGCAACGCAATTGCTGTGGTAGATTAGCTTCGGTTTGGGCCTTTGAGGTGTTATGTGCAGAACACATGCATATGAGCGTAGTTCTTCCTGAACTGTAAGCGCTTTTGATCATTTCTTGTGCTCCAGTGATTATTCCTTGCAAAGCGATGTGCTGCTGTACCTTTTTTTAGGCAATAATAAATAAATAAAATGCCGAAGCTACTCACACTCTGTTTCATATTACTTAGCAAATTGCTTTTGTTTTTAAGTCAAACTTTGTGAGACCAAATTTATAGAAAAATATTAAACATGTAAAATACCAACTAAATCAACTATTGATATTGATTTGGTATTGTCAATGTCGGTTTTTTCATATATATAACTGATCAAACTTCACAAAAAAATGGCATTGTGAAATATATTTGATTTCTAGTCTTACCAAATTAATATCACTAGATTTTATCTTTCTTTTTTTCATGTGCAAGGCAGGTGCACTGTCAATTTCATGAAGATAGGAAAAGCAAAAACAGAATGGCCTGAAACTAGGCTGAAAACCATACAACACACGATTGATTAAGGGACCAGAGTGCAAAAGCCCACAACCATGTCGACATCAGCCAACTCAAACTTCACGGCCAACATTTCCGACAACCCAGAGATGTGTGGGTGAGCTCTTCGGAGACGCCTGCAAGAAGCATCGTTGCGAGCCACCCACACGAGCTCTGCCGGTTTTACCTATTTTTACTAATTGTTTCACGCATTTGTCTAGTTTTACAAACAACTACAGAATAATGACAAGATGCCATTTAAATAAACCGCAGGGCAAACCCAAGTGAGGTAACAATTGATTGATTTATGCCGGTCTGTTGAGATCTGTTGCTCCGGAAGGCAAACCCAAGTGAGGCTAAATTTGCTGGAGGGTCGTTCTGCCGACGGTAGTGGTTGTTCGATGGCCGAGGGACCTCCATGTAACTTATATTATGTTTGAAAAGTGCTTCGTACTTCTGATGAAGTTTTCTATAGCGGATTCAAAAAAACAAACAATGGCAACCCCAAACTAAACCTTTTTTTTTCTGCTGCTAGTAGGTGAATTTTTGTTCCCGCCGATCGGTTGAGATGTGCTGCTTCGCAAGCGCACGATCCACGCATCCTCTTGGTCCACTCGCTGCGAAGCCGCTCGTGCACTTGTCCCAGAGCCGGAGGAAATCAATGGCGTCCATCCAAGCGCCAGAAACAAACAGCAGCGGATGAGCAGGCCGGTACAAGGAGCAGCCCGGAAAGCTGGGGTCCTCCGCCCGTGCACGCCCTGCCCTGCCCCGTCCCTCCCTCTGACAACCCTCCCGCTTTCCCTCTCATCAGCCAACAGCTTTTGCACGCGCGCGCGCGCGTCAGGTTCAGTCAGCCGGCCGGCCCCTTCGTCGGGTCAGAGGTTAGTTCCGCCCGCTTTCGCCTTTCGGTTTTGTGCCGCCGGACGGACGGATCCATCGCGTCGCTGTCAGCCCGGCGGTTTCCACGGCAAAGAGCTTCCGGCAGTGGCAATGGCGGGTGGCTGCGCCGGGGAAGAAGACAGGCCGTGACCTCAGCCGCTTTCCCCTAAGGAATGGATGAAGATGCCGTGCGTACGTGCTCCTACGCCGGGGTTCAGTAAAAGATTAGATGTGCATTCTTGCTTGAGTTTGACAGTGATCGATGGATGGTCCTGCGGGAGGAATTTTGCAGGGATTCCAAGGCAGAAGGAGATGGCTGATGCAAGACAGAGAATATTTCCATGACAAGGTATATAATTTTGGACCGCAAGACCTCTGTAGAAACTTCTTTCTTCAGAGCAGTGGCGGTTCTTTAATTTCAGTAAAAGAATTCCGGGATTAGACAGATAGATGCGTGCTATCAACAGTGGCGTGTGGTGGGTTAATTAATCGGCTGGGCCTGGGGCGGATGCTTTGTGTCTGCGCAGTTTAGGCCAGGAAGAGAAGCCAGCAGGCTGCTCATCATCTGTCACATCCATCTCAACCCAATGAGCCTGAATTATTATGTGTGTATGAGTGTATCTATGTATAGCTTGCTGTGTTTATACGTACACTTCTTCCTTCTTCTTCATCCTCCCTCCCCATTTTAGCACCTCTATAACCTCACTTGCATATATAGAAGATGGCCTGGGAACAATTCTATGTGCTCGTGAGGACAAGCTGTGTTGATCAGTGCAGTGCTCCCTGCAGCTGTGCTGGGGTCCTTAACGCCGCAAGGAAGCACGCATGCCATGTTCAGGCTTCTGTTTCTTAGAGCAATGTTCAGGCCAAAGTGGCAACTAATCACCACAAGGCACCAAACGCTAAGCTGTGTCCATTGATGCACCTCAGTGGCCCTCATGCAAACACAGTGCCCCACTGTGCCTGCATTTTTTTCCCCCATATTACATTACTGCAATAATTGAGTGCCGAAGCAAATGCAGGATGCAGCTCAACACAAACCCTAAATAATTGGCCATTCTGACTGACTGAATAGGTGAGTGAATATGTGTGTAGCCACTAGCCTTTTTTGCCCTGCGCCATCAACAGTGCTCCGGGGGGTGACGAGATGCATCCACGCGATGAAAGATCGATGATGCACGCAGCAGCAGCGCGGATCGACAGACGGACAGACGCATCATGCACCTGATCCAGCGGCATCAGATCTCCTCATGGCCGGCCCGGCCCTGGCCCTGGACTGGAGGAGGACTGTTGAGGGGCGGCAAGATTCAGACAGAGGCCGTGTCTGTCAGCCAGTGGCGTCGCCCAGCGCCACACACAAAGCCACACGCCACCACAGCCACAGCCACAGCATGCATGAACACTCACTCACACACAACCACAGAGAGGGAGGGGGCAGTGAAAAGAACAATCAATGGGAAGGGGATGCGGGGCATGGCCATTTAAGGAAGCCTCCTTGACCTAGCTCGCCATGGAACTCCCACCAGGAATGCAGGTCCCATCCGTCAGCGTCAGTATCAGTACTGGCCTGGCCTGGCCTGGGCTTGCTTGCCCACTGGGTAGAGCAGCAGTATGCATGATTGGCCTCTCTCTCTCTTGCTTGCAAGGCAGTGCAGGCAGCAGCGGAGGATGGGGGAGAACAAGCGTACTGCTGCAACGCTGCTGTGATTGTTTCTCGAGAGAAAAGAAAAGAAAAGAAAAGCGCTGCTGTGATTTGAGGTTTCATGCTGTTTTGCAGCACCTTTTCCTTTCACCCGGCCAAAAGAACTACTCATTGCAAGCCCCCTTTATTCAAGTTTCACCGGGCCAACCAACATGCATGCACGGCGCCAACAGTTTTTTGGTTTCGTTCAGAAAGCTGCTTTCTTTCTTTCTTCCTTTCTTTCTTTCTCTCCATTTTTTCATTTTTACTTGCTTGCAAAAACATGTAGAATGATGAGATAACAGCAGAAAATAAGGGAAACGATCAGTAAACTGTTAATTCAAATAATGTGTGGTTAATTTGGAAACATATGTGAAAGATAAGGATTTTTTTAAGAAGGCTGTTTAGAAGTTTATGCATCAACACAAGCATAAGTGCATGTTTTCCAAAAAACTTGGCTGAATTCCACATAATGAGGGAGAAGGCGAATCATTCATCAGCTACAGGCTGATTAGAAGTTCCACATCATGATGCATCAACACAAGTGTCATGTCATCGGCAATAAGAAAATGAAATTAACAGGATACTGCAAAAGGAACTGATGACACATTAATATTGTTCACAGTGAAGTAAGGAGACCTTCAAAAAAAATCTGAAGCATTCTGCAAAAGGAACTGATGACACCTTAATATTGTTCGCAGTAAAGTAAGGAGACCTTCAAAAAAATTCTGAAGCATTCTGCAAAAGGAATTGATGATGCCAAACTTCCGGAGATCGCAGTTAAAAAAGGCAGCATGGAGAAAATTAGGAAGAAATGGCAGTTACGGCCAGAGACAAGACACACTAGTAATTAAGAAACTCAATCTAGTGGCACATCCACATAGATCAGTACAGGCAGGTAGCCATGACTAACAAATACTACATGCATCTCGCTGTCAAATCAAATTACCTTTTGTAACAATCCTGGCTGTATACCTACCTTCTCCACCATGATGTGATATTCTCTTAGAAAAACATCTACAGCCTGAAGAAGCTGGTGAGTGATCCGCCAATGATGCTGCCCAATTGGTCTCTCTCTGCAATTTCCCACAGCTTTATTGAACTGCAGATCTTGCCGGTAGAAGCTAGCATCCACCAATTGCAGATGCAGTTCAAGAAAGCTGTGGAAGACAGCAAAGAGGGCCACACACATCTCACAACGAAATTAGCATCCAACACCGAGTAGGCATATACTGGAGGTAAAGGGGGAGAGAGGCTAGGGTTCTTCACTTGTCGCTTTTAGCTAGGCCTGAGAGCCATACAATGGGAGAAGTGCAAGGAGCCAGCAAGTGGTTCTTCTACCTAGGCTTGGGGGGCATGGGTGAGAGTGGGGGTGGAGGAAGAAGAGGGGAGCCTGAGGGTTTATTTATACCAGCGGGGTGGGGAGGAGAGATGTGGTTGGTGCATGAGAGGTTAAGGACCCAATCCCAAGAAGAATATAGAGCCTGCCCTCAACACTACTCCAAGCCCCCCTCTCCCCATTTTCCTCTCTCTCTCTCTCTCTCACTTCACTCTCTCTCTCTCTCTCTTCACTCTCTCTCTCTCCTCTGGTGAGGAGTGGCGAAGGGGGGGAGACTTTTTGGGCAGAACAATCCAACTAATCCAAGGGAGGTTGTAGATGAGGGAGGGGACAAGGCCCAAATACTTTATGTGAGACTTGGAGGAGATGAGCCACCTGCCAGGCTGCCTAGCTAGCAAAACCGGGCATTTGCTTTTGTTTTCTTTCCCTTGGTGGCTTGGAGGTGGAGGCACAAAACATGCGTGCTTGGGACAATGCTTGCTGAAAGCAGGGGAAAGATGGAGCCTTTCTGAATCTATGACAGTGATCACAGCTTAATTTACCCAGCAGTTTACAAGTGGGGGGCAGAAAGCAATGGCAATTTGCAAATAATTTTGTGCATGATCCAAAGCAGGATTGCCTCATGAATGTTCTAAAATCGGATGTTGATTTTCCACGGGATTCGCAATGATCGTACCGCGGCGAAATTGTCGCCCCTCGAGGGTTGTCAAATTTGCTTTTCGCAAGAAAATCTGACTCGCCAACTCGCGATCTATCGTGGCAATTAACTTTGAGAAATGTTCTATCTATAAACTAATATAAGATGGTTTAGATAACTAAAGTAGTGATCTAAAACGTCTTATATTGCTTTACAGAGGGAGTAGTTGGCCGAACCAGAGTGCAAAGTTTCAGCGGACGGGCTGCATGGAGCCCTTTTCTCTAGACATTTTAAAACGTATTTAAAAGTTTTTAAAAAAACTCCGAAACTTGTACATATTCATTACGGGTCTGTAAAATTCGGTTCAAAACTATGGTCATTTGTAAGCCGCGCAAAAAACAAAATGCCAGCCCAACAACAAAAAATAAACCGGCCATTTTGATATACATATTTGTCTTTTTTTGGTATGCCACATATGAAAATATATTATTATAAAAATTTGCAAGTAGGTAGTATATATGTATATGAGTGTGCATAATATTGTCTTTTTACAGTGTATATAATGAATTGAATATGGGCTCCATGGAGCCCGCCCTCCATTAGTCTTTTTCGGTTGAACCATGGCTATTATTTGAATGATCATAGGAGCCAATTTTATATGTTTATTGATTTTCTAACATATTACAAACACAGATCCTCATACATACACACATATACTCACTCTATGAACGCACAAATCACACCCTCTTTATGAGCACCTTCGAGAGACTGAGCCGGCACATCATCTTGAGATTGACGAAGTCGACACACATGTCTTTGTAGTCGAAAGGAACGCCTGCTGCCACCGAACACACATCGTCGGGATGCCTGAAATAAATCCAGAAAAACACGAGCACCGATGTCAAGTCTTTTGTATGCATTGTCCTTGTAATCATCGCTTATAACTTATTGTTGCATAGCATATCCTTAATCTAAAGGCACGTGAGCCTATGATTTTTTTTGCAAGCGATATAAATCATTTAAATATGATGTTAATATTAAAAAAACTTGAATAATTTTATTTTATTTTGAACATAACACTCTAAATAATTGATATTACGCATGTTCATGTCTTTTGTATGCATGCAAATTTTCATTAAGGAATGACACATTTTGTTCTCTTTGAGGAAAACCAGTAGCCATGCTCTAGAAATATGAATTTCAGATATGTGCATGTGGCATGGATCTTGAGCACTTTTTTTTTCTTTCTATTGGACTAAAATTGAATTAAACAGAACTATATTCATGTATAGAACTCAGATCAATTGACATCAATGAATTTACGAATAGGGAGTCCACGTGCCCAACAAATGAACTATTTCCTCCTCCACTTCTACCATTGGTCAGATTATGGGAGGCTCAGATAAAGCTAACCAATGTTGTGAGGGCGATCGGTCGGCTCTAGTTGGCCAAAAGAACATCGGTAATGCTAATTGGCAAACGTTTGCAGGGAAGGAACCCCTGCGAACGCCCTCACAGCCGTTTGGTCAAGACCAAACCATGACAGTTTTGTGAAAAAATGTCTTCTCTAGGAAGGAATTGTCATGGCAGTCTGAAGAAATGTCACCTCCCATGACAGTTTTAGGGAAAAAATACCTTCTCTTAGAGGAAATTGCCATGCTAGTCTGAAGAAATTGTCGCCTCCTTACAACTAAAATCGCCATGAACAACAGTCGTTAGGTAAGTATCTGTAACGCTTGTTTCACTTCGTATTGTCCCGTCAATGGAAAAGGTCAACAAGTTGACTTCTCAGTCATTTTTCCTGTTCATATTCCTGCTGCCGATCAAAGAAAAACTCCCGTTTCACCTTCATCAGAAATGAAACAGGCAAGAAAATATAGGCCAAAAAAATGAAAATGAAGAGAGATATTTCGTCCATGCTTTCTACGGTAACCAACCAGTGGCTCTCAGCGCTCCCAAGCAGCGCCCCCAACCTCCCGAGCTACAAGACAACGAGGGCTCAAGAAAAATCGCGCAAAACTTGCCGTGATCGCACGCGCAGTGAGCAGAGCACTGATCGATGGCGGCCAAGGTGGCGTCCCCGCTCCCGTTCCGCCGCGACCTGCGGGGCCCGCTCGGCCGGCGGTCGCCCAGGAGCGGGCTGCCCGGCGCGCTGGCCGGGCTGGGCTGGAGCGACGGCTCCCGCAGGCTCGTGGCGCCGGCGTGGCCGGCCCGGGCGCGCGGGAGGAGCAACCGATCCAGCGGACGGGGAGCGACCAAGGAAGACGACGAGCGCGCCGAGGAGTCAGGGGATGCGGAGGCCGTGCTGATCATCGACGGGGAGGAGGAGGAGGACGGGGAGTTCGGCGACGACGATCTGTCCGGGTTCAGGGGGCTCGTTCTTGATCTCTCCTACAGGTAAAGCCACACTCTTTACTAATCACCATGCTCACTACTCAAGTAAATTTCAGCTGAAAATGGTGATTAGCGTGAGCAACCGAGGTTATAGCGTAGCTTCTGCTCTTTGATTGACATCTTGAAACGGTTCTGAGACCACGCGCAGGCCTGTGAATGTCGTCTGCTGGAAGCGCGCGATCTGCCTGGAGTTCATGGAGAAGGTTAGCTTCTCTGCTGCGATGCAGCCAGCAGTTCGTCCTCATCGCCATCATCACTCCTCCCAAGTCAACAGCTCAACTGCTGATCAAATTTAATGCAGTGATCGTCTTAGCTATGCAGGCCGATGTCCTGGAGTACTACGATCAGACGGTCTCCTCTCCCAGGGGATCCTTCTACATCCCTGCGGTTCTCAGGGTATGTGGGGTGGTGATCCATCGATTTGTCGGCCACTTAGACCCTGTTTTCCGACGCCGGAAATTGAATTGGAATTTCCCCTGATTCCTGATGGAATTGAACTGTTTTCACTGCTATGTATCGTCTTCTTCGTCAGGTTCCACAGCTGCTGCAAGTTGTGAAGAGGAGGAGGGTCAAGCACTGCCTTAGCCGGAAGAACATACTCTTCAGGGATGGATTCAGTTGCCAGTAAGCATTCCCCTGTTTTTTCTTGTAGGGAAGTAGAAGCAGTGTACTGTTGCTAAAGCCAGAACTTCCCTTCATATAACTAGATCTGTATGGATAATCAGGAGTTAATTGGTCGGGCTGTCTGCACTGACTGCAGGTATTGCTCTTCTGAAGATGACCTCACAATCGATCATGTCATCCCGGCCTCGCGTGGCGGCAAATGGGAATGGGAAAACTTGGTATGAATTCTCGCTACTTCTATTACCTCCGTTCAGAATTAACTGTCGCTGAAATGAGCTTATCTTATTACCCTCCCTGAAACCAAGAAGAAGAGTCGGTGGCGAAAACCACGACTTGATTGAGAAGTTATTTTGCCATCTCTGAATTGTTAGGTAACTGCGTGCTCTAGATGCAACTCCAGGAAGGGTAACAAGACGCTGCTGCAAGCAAACATGAAGCTACGCAAGATCCCCAAGGTCTGTGACACTGCTTGCTCTTCTTGGATCTTGAATAATACTGCAATATTTGTGAAGTGCAGTTAATTACCGAACTGTCCCATATTATAAGAAGAGTGATCCTTGCTGAATTGCGCCGCAGGGGCCGAAGGAATTCGACATCATCGCGGTGCCCTTGACGAAATCCGCCTTCAGGACGATCCGGAGGAGGCACGGGCTGCCTGAAGAGTGGCTGCAGTACCTTGCCGGGCCATCTCCATGACCAAGGGAGGACTTCCTTCAGACCATAACCAGTAGCCATCACTCCATCTCCATGTATATATATTACCAGGCTCATCTTCTCCAGCCAAAGATTCATGTCTATCCATCACCAGCTCTGTACATGCCTTGCTACCTTCTGATTTCTAAAAATAAATCTGTACATGTCACTGATTTATCAGTAAGTAAATAAAACAAGAAACCGACTTGAGTGTACATGCCACGTGCAGTTTGCGTGGACCTTGATTTCCTGTCAGAAATAATTGGAACGCTAAGGCCTTGTAAAATGCAAGGTGTTTAGGGGGAGTGCTTAGTAAAATAAACCAAGCTTTTCCTAAGCACAAGTGCTTATCTCTATATGAGGTGTGCTTAATTAAGCATCTACCCTATGCAAATAGGCACCGGTCCTTCTGAAAAATCGGTTTATTTCTCTGAGCATCTCTCCTAAGCATCTTTCATTGTACAACGCCTAAGAATTTACTAATAGTTAGTTGTAGTTTTTTTATTTTCCTCTAAGTGCGAGGCATTCACATAGAGGGCTACTTGTTCATTTTTTGTTTTCTCATTTGATCACATAGAGACCTTGATACCGACTTGAATATTGGTTGTTTGGAATTATGCGGACGTGATGGCTACATTTCATTCTAGTGATGTTTGGAAATATTGGTTAGCCATCACTCCGTCTCCATCTCCGTTTGCATATCTAGTGATGTTTAACCGTGTATTTTGGTCCTGATTAATTTGTGATATTTATGCGCGCTTGTTATATGTTGCGGAATTCCGTTATGAATCATATGAATTTAGGGATCATATATGAGGTACTACGTACACTGCTATGGGCACGGGCGAGAATCGCCGGTCACTGTCCGCGGACTTACAAGGAGGATTAGCTATGTCTTGCCCTAGATGAGCCTGGTCACTCGCCGTCCGGCCGGGCACGCGCGCCGCGCCTGCCCTCGCGCAAAGATCAAACTGAAATTGCCTGCGAAAAAGAATTTTTACCTGAGCCGGGAGCTACCGGTGGAGCATCCATCGTTAAACGTTGCTTTGAGATTGATCTGGCTGAAGACTCCACCATACTTTTATTTCTGTCGCTTAGCAATACAAATCTTATACAAACAAATATACTCCGATGGATAGAGGCCACAGCAGCACCTTTTGTCAAGTTGAGAGCAAATAGGTGCACCACGGCTGCATACAAACACTAAATACATGCACTTTGTTTTCCATGTGACATTTTAAAAGGTTGATAACTTTTGAACTAAATATCTAGTTTTCAAACTCTTTATATTTTTGAATTCAGGGCGACAAGACCTTTAAAACAAGATCAATCTTGGATACATTTTGGCTAGTTTGAATTTAATCGTCTCACTCATTTTAGAAAACGCATTTTAGTCAGTTTCACATTTCACTAGTTTTAGAAAATCTTTCAGTCAGTTTCACATTTGGCTAGTTTGAATTTAATCGTTTCTCTCATTTCAGAAAACGCATTTTAGTCAGTTTCACATTTCACTAGTTTTAGAAAATCTTTCAGTCAGTTTCACATTTGGCTAGTTTGAATTTAATCATTTCACTCATTTCAGAAAACGCATTTTAGTCAGTTTCACATTTCTCTAGTTTTAGAAGATCTTTCAGTCGGTTTCACATTTCACTAGTTTCAGAAAATCTTTCAGTCAGTTTCATATTTCACTAGATTCGGAAAACACATTACACGCATTTACAAAAGATAGATTTCACTCATTTTAGAAATTTCACTATATTTAACGTATTTCACACCGAAATATGTGTCATGTGTATGGAAAACAAATTTCACTCGTTTCAAATATTGGTTTCACTCAATTCGAAAAAATATTTCATTTACTCAAGAAACTGATTTCACTCATTTCAGAAAAACTATCAGTTAAAAAACCAATTTCACTTGTTTCAAAAATAGATTTCACTCGTTTCAGAAAACATAGTAGAGTCATTTCACTGTGAATTTATGAAAAATATTGACTTGTATTTCACTCATCAAAAATATCAATTTCAAACACTAAAAAAAGCAGTTTCATACAAAATATTGGTCATATTTCACTTTTTTAAAATGGCTTATTTCACTCGTTCTAGGAAACACATTACACTCACTCAATTGAAATAGTATATTTCACTTGTTTCAAAAAACTGATTTCAAACATTACAAAATATATTGATTTAACTCATTTCACTAGTTTCACAAAACACATTACACTCACTCAATTGAAATACTCCTATATTTCACTCGTTTCAAAAATTGATTTTAAAACTAATGTCACTCGTTTCAAATACATTACACTTTTGAAATACAAAGTTTCACCCTTTTGTGAAATATATTTCTGAAAGGATTAAAATATGCTTTTTAAGATAACAGATCGGTTCTACGTAAGTTGAAAAATAATTAGTTTCACTCTCTTGGGATATATGAAGCTGGAATAATTAAAATCAGTTTCATAAAAAAGTGAGAAGAATTAGTATTTTGAAAATGAGTGAGATTTGTTTTCTCAAAGAATTGAAATTAGTTTTTGAAATAAATCAAAATGTTTTTTTTAAATTGAAATCTACTTTAAAAAATATTTCAAATAAGTTTAAAGTGAGAGAGGTTGATTGGTTGGAGAAAATAAACTAACATAGTCTGCACGTCTGAAGTGAGAGGTGCGTCAAGTGTAAGTGAAAAGAGTGACATGCACGTGGGTGGGACCCCAGCTGATCAAATACGATGGAGTCAGATGAACAAAAGAGAGAAATACATGAATACAATTTTTGAGCTGGCAGTATCCTATTGGTGATCCGTCATTCTTTTCTTTGGTGGATGTTGTGGTGGTATCGGAGGTAGGTAACGGATGTTAGTATCAAGCTTAGAGATGTTTCCGCTATCTTTTTAATTTTGTCATGATGGTCCTTGCGTCACTTATACTTTGATCTTTATGATACGAATGAGACACGTATTATCATGAAAAAAAACACTTTGCGGTATTGCCTGCCTGCTCGCCCGTCTCGGGGCTAGGGACGTTCCGTACTGTAGGCGCCTCAAAAGGGGGAAGGAAAACCGCCACCGACGTTTCCATCGCAGGCATCGGTTTGGAGGATGAGCTTAATCAATCCACTCTCCCACTGAACCTGACAGTGATATGTTTCTCTTTGACCAGCAAGCTAGCTACTCCAGCTAGGAGAGGAGTGCCACTGTACCAGCGACTGGTCAAATGGAACACCGAGACGCGTGCACGCGCCCGTCTTGAGCAAACATATCGACATGAGGATCTCTTTTTTTGTTAGACTAGCAATGTGCCCGTGCGTTGCAACGGATTCAAAGTAGAATAATACATATTCACAAATTTGAAAGAAAACAGTCTAGTTTTGATATACATATATCACTAAAAATATATTATGTTTCACTCAAAATATATTTCTTGGGCTGTTTTGATGAGTTAAAGGAGGAATGTGGTTGGTTTCAAGATACTAAGGGGTTTTCTGTAAATTAGAGCAGAGAAGTGGGATATTGTTGCAAAAAGGCACAAGTTACATCACAGTCGTTAGATGCAGATCTAGTGGCCAGAAATGACGGATGGCAGACATACCATCATCATCAACTGAGTCTTTTATAGGAGTAGAGATGACACGGGCATATGTTAGATGACACGGGCATATGTTACGTGATAGACTACACACGAACACTCCTCCGAGCTCTGCAAGTCTGAACGCCAAATGCGGGCTCAAATTGAAGGTGGAATGTGAAAATATTACCAAGAAGAAGAAGAAGAAGAAGAAGCGTGCAGGAGCAGCACGCGCATATCGGCCGATCGTGTCGATCTGCGCCTGCCATTTCCTATACGATTTCCGCACTGACGGATGGAGTAGCGACCTGCGAAAGCCACGTACAACCCGTGGTTCGAGGCCCGGCCGGTCTGCGCGGCCCGCGCGTGCGTGGGTGCATGCGGCGGCAGAACGGTGTCAGTCGGTCGGAGGAGTGCCGCTGGCAGAAGCCTCTCCTCGGTCGAACGAAGGCGGCGCGCGGACCGGAGGCGCCGGATCAGCAGGCGGCATACGCGCTGCCTGCACTTACGGGGTGCACGCCATGCATGGCTCTGGCTCTGGCTCTCGTCGCAGCAGACGACTATAGTACTACGTTCTCGTCCCGAGGCCGGGGGTTTGTCCGATCTAATTGACGTTGTTCCGAAGCAAATTGACCCGTCAGAATGTCGGATCTACTCCCGTGAAAATGAACAGATCTGATCTTTATCTGGAATTTCAACACAAAACGACCCCAATCTGAAAATACTTCATGAAATGGTCCTCTTTTGCATGACGCCCGGGGTTAGGGCGCCATGCTAGAGTGCATGACGCCCCGGGCTAGGACGTCATGGTAGTGACATGTAGCATGACGCCCTAGCCCGAAGCGAGCATGGCGCCCTAACTACGGGCGTCATGCAAAAGGGGCCATTTCATGAAAAAAAAATCATATTGAGGCCATTTTGTGTTGTAGTTTCGGATAAGGGTCAGTTTTGTCCATTTCCCAACCACTTTACATGCATTCAGGCCGATGAACTGACATGCATTATAATACTCCTGACATCTCACTTGGATTCGGCGTCCGATCGCTTCCTTCAGCTTAGGGCTTCGTCCCTGATGGTCGGTTGCCCCTTTGCGGTGGCAGCAAACCAAGCCAACATGCCTGTTACTTAGAAGCATGGCTAAAGATCAACGTTGATGCAGCTTTGCTTTGGGGAATTTATAATGAAGGAAGACGAAGCATGGGAGTTTTTCTTTCTCCCTTTTAGAACACCATGTATGACTATGGTGTCAAAAAAACATCCTACATTATAAGATGGAGAGAGTAATTAGTTAAGAAAGAGTAAGCACGCGAGTGATTGTAAGAGATGCAAGGGGAAATTTTGTGGCTGCGGGCGCGCAGTAGTTTGCCCTTCGTAGCGGATGTGATGATAGCAGAAGCATATGTCCTCAGAGACAATCTTACTTTGGCTCAGCGTCTTA